TTTTTTTCCATACTATGGAAGTCAATGGCTACCGTCAACTGTTTGATTACAAACATTATTCAAAATATCTTCTTTTAATTCAGCAGAAGAAAGAAACTCATACAGGTTTGGTACAACATGTGTGTGAGTAAATGATAAAAGATTTCTCATTTTTGGCTGAGCTTTCCCTTTAAACTAGAAACGTGGTGGTTTTAAAGCCAAATCAGCAGCAGCCCTGTTTTATGAAAAGCAAGTTTACTCAGTGCTGAAGATCTAGATTTACGTCTCTTCTTACGATTTTGCGGTCGTAGTTCTCTCCGCTGCTGTAGGTGGTGGTGAGGGTGGAGGCGCACTCTTCCAGATACCAGGGCTTGCGGCCGCTCTCTGCCGTGCTGCTGATGGATATCGTGTAGATGCTGTTGGTGTAGCCGTCACATGAACAGTGATCGCGACTCCGACCGCCATTTCCTGATGCCCAAACAAAGATTGAACCCCGTCCTTTCCTGCCCTGTGAAGAAAAAACAAAAACATAAGTGAACACGTTCTGTTTACAATGAAATATGTGCTTTTTAAAAATGACTATTTACAGTATACTTGTTACAGAAACATCCCTCCAGAAGCAACCTAGAGTTTATGCTCCAGGGAACAGTGGTGATCGTGGCTGCAAATGTAAATTTGACTGAAATTTCAAATAAATAAATAACTAAAATAATATACACACACACACACACACACACACACACACACACACACACGTCTGGGTTCACTATCCTTGTGGGGACTCTCCATAGGCGTAATAGTTTTTATACTGTACAAACTGTATTTTCTATCGCCCTACACCAACCCTACCCCTCACAGAAAACTTTGTGCATTTTCACAATCTCAAAAAAAACTAATTCTGTATGATTTATAAGTTTCTGTACCCATGGGGACCTCAATTCAAGTCCCCATGAGTTGGTGTGTATTCAGGTTTAAGTCCCCACCAGTGTAGAAAAACCTGTACACACACACACACACACATTTACACACACATTACATATGCATATATTATCACAAATATAATTTGTTAGGAAAAATAAAAAAATATATATTTTTTTATATACTTTTATTATTATTTTAAATGAATATATTTTAATAAATACATATTTTAATAACTATAATTATTGTATATAATTGTATAGTATAATTGTACTTTAAATTTTAGTAATTGAGTATTTTTTTTTATATATTTCTATTTAGCATATATTTCTATTTACTTCAGTTTTAGTTCTACTCATTTTAGTACTTGAATGACAAATGTTGCTTTGGCAACTAAACGAAATAAAATAAGTTTAAATGGTTTAAGTTTAAGTTTTATATATATATATATATATATTTTTTTTTTTTCAAAAAGTTCACTGTTTCCAGACAGGATGACGAATCATTGAGAGTAATTTACAAACAAACATCCAGATGCATTACAAAGCAGGAACTAACATCATCAGGACAGCATAATCTCCAAGCATTAATATCCTCCAGCCTTTTCTGATGAGAGGAGACCAGTATCACCTGATGTCTATGAGTCTCACATACCTGAAACATGCCTAAACCACTCCAAACACACCTTTGGCACAGGATACATGCCAATTACTGACTGCATGACTCAGGGAAGATAAACTAAAATCACGTTCTAAAGTTCACTGGCGTAGCAGGTGGTGAGTGTGAGAAGGAAAGGAAAACACCCTTGGTGGGCCAGACTGCTGGGGAGACGCGACTGATTACCTGAAAATTACACTTATGATTTATGAACGTCACATCATATGGAAAAAGGGAAAAACATAAATAAATACTTCTATACATGCTGAGATGGTTCTTACCTGTCTGATGCCATTTTCAAAGGCCTGTCTGGCGAGGGAAGCGGGCCCATCCACGGTTTTGCCGTCATCATCTGGACCCCAGCTGGCACTGTAAATATCTATGTGTTGAGGGTGTAGACTCAGTGATTTGAATTGTACTTTAAATTTTAGTAATTGAGTATTTTTTTTTATATATTTCTATTTAGCATATATTTCTATTTACTTCAGTTTTAGTTCTACTCATTTTAGTACTTGAATGACAAATGTTGCTTTGGCAACTAAACGAAATAAAATAAGTTTAAATGGTTTAAGTTTAAGTTTTAATTCCTATTTTATTTAAAAAAATGAAAACAAAATGTAAGTTTTAACAACAATAACTGGTTTGGTTCAGATTAACTATATTAATTTAATAAAAAAAAAAAAAAAAAATATTCCAAACACACCTTTGGCACAGGATACATGCCAATTACTGACTGCATGACTCAGGGAAGATAAACTAAAATCACGTTCTAAAGTTCACTGGCGTAGCAGGTGGTGAGTGTGAGAAGGAAAGGAAAACACCCTTGGTGGGCCAGACTGCTGGGGAGACGTGACTGATTACCTGAAAATTACACTTATGATTTATGAACGTCACATCATATGGAAAAAGGGAAAAACATAAATAAATACTTCTATACATGCTGAGATGGTTCTTACCTGTCTGATGCCATTTTCAAAGGCCTGTCTGGCGAGGGAAGCGGGCCCATCCACGGTTTTGCCGTCATCATCTGGACCCCAGCTGGCACTGTAAATATCTATGTGTTGAGGGTGTAGACTCAGTGATTTGGCCTCTACCATGTCTGTCACATCTCCGTCCAACATGCGGACACCTGCAGGACAAGCCCAAAGAAAACCTCAGCAGGGAAAACATCTGCGATACACTGAAGATCAGCATGCCAATGACGTCCAACAGACGTGCAAAACTACACATTTCCAAAATTAATTAGTCGGAGGAATGTTGCCTAAATGACTAGTCAACTGATCTATCTTAGGGAAGCCTGAATAATTAGGCTTGGATGTATTAGAGGGCGTGTATATATACTCCTGTTCAAAAGTCAGGATTCAGATTTTTTTTTCAGCAAGGATGCATTAAAATTATCAAAAGTTACAGTAAAGACTTTCATAATGTTACAAAAATTTCATTTCAAATAAATGCTGCTAGTTTGAACTTTCTACTCATCAAAGAATCCTGAACAAACACATCACGGTTTTCACAAACATATTATGTGGATGTTGAACTGTTTTAAACAGATAATAATAAGAAATTTCTGAAGGATCATGTGACACTGAGGACTGGAGTAATGATGCTGAAAATTCAGCTTTGCATCACAGGAATAAATTACATTTTAAATTATATTAAATTAGAAAAACAGTTATTTTAAATTGCAATGATATTTCACAATATTACAGTTTTTACTGTACTTTTGGTCAAATAAATGCAGTTTTGGTGAAAATCTGAAAATCTTACCAACCCCAAACTTTTGAATAGTACTGAATATGATGTTTTCTTACATTCATAAACAGCTAAACAGAATATAGGTGTATCAAGATAAGTTTATACAAGCTGTTATGTTTTTAAATTGGCATTGCGTCTTGAAAAAAAAAAAACTATGGCAAAAGTCCCAACTTGTAAAAAAAAAAAAAAGGGCCAAAATTAATTGTGATGACTTCCAAAATATTGACCATAATCTGTAAATCTGTCTGTGTAGGTTTTCAGTCATGCAGATGAATATAGAATATCAGCAGAATATTAGCAATATTAGTTCCCACTTTTATAGTGTTTATTCTACTACTTATCTGAGTGATTCCAAATGGCAACATCCAGCAGAAGAGATGTGTTTACTACCAGTCAAATGTGGATACATGCGCTGGACAGTAATGTAGTTGATGGGTAGCGACTTTGAAGAGCCTCATATATATATATATATATATATATATATATATATATATATATATGTATATGTGTATGTGTGTGTATGAGGTTTATTTAATGTAACATTTTTAGTCACTAAAATTTACATCGGTGGCTTTACTATTGTGGGTGCTTTACTGGGTGCAGTACGAACAAAAGGCAGAATTTCCAGGTACAGCAGTAGGTCCAAATCAGACAGTGACCGTCAGTCACACTCACCCCCAATCTTGGCATTGTAAGCGATGCCCACTGTGCTGTGTAGGTTTTCAGTCATGCAGATGAATATAGAATATCAGCAGAATATTAGCAATATTAGTTCCCACTTTTATAGTGTTTATTCTACTACTTATCTGAGTGATTCCAAATGGCAACATCCAGCAGAAGAGATGTGTTTACTACCAGTCAAATCTGGATACATGCGCAGGACAGTAATCTAGTTGATGGGTAGCGACTTTGAAGAGCCTCATATTATATATATATATATATATATGTGTATGTGTGTGTATGAGGTTTATTTAATGTAACATTTTTAGTCACTAAAATTTACATCGGTGGCTTTACTATTGTGGGGTACTGGGTGCAGTACGAACAAAAGGCAGAATTCCCAGGTACAGCAGTAGGTCCAAATCAGACAGTGACCGTCAGTCACACTCACCCCCAATCTTGGCATTGTAAGCGATGCCCACTGTGCAGTGCGAGTTGTTGGCAGATGCCGCTACTTCACCAGCGCACCTCGTGCCATGCCTGAACACAACACATCAGACGTTAGTGTTAGTACTGATACACACACATTCACTGAGTTCATAAACAATGACTGGAGACCCTTACGCAAGCACAGGCACTGCTGCTGACCTATTACACACACTCGCTACAGAAGTAGACAGGAAATAGAGAGAGAGAGAGAGAGAGAGAGAGAGAGAGAGAGAGAGAGACAGCTGGGCTGAAACTAAACATGTGCTTCCACGGCCAGCAGAGCTAAAACACAGCAGCTAAATATTTGAGATATTGAAGGAAAACATTTGAGCGGTTCCTCCGCCTCAGACGCAACGTGGATACATTCCTGACCCAAACTAAACTCACATAAATCTAATACAAATCATCCACAAAAAACACACTAAAACGCTCACTAAAGACAGAGACAGACAGATGGAGAGAGACGGAGAAAGATTCGGCTGTGGAACCTCCAGCAGTGAACAGCTGCATAGAAAAACTCACGCTACCATGGTAACCACCGTTTCCAATCTAAGCCATTAAAAAAAAAAAAGAAAACAAAAAGAAAAAGCAGCAAAGATTGTAAAGATCCATAGCAGCACCAGATCTGGGATGAGACCAGGGTTCGATCGCCATCGCAACCATAAACATTTACAAGGTCAAAAGGTCAAAAGGCCAGAAGAACTCCCAGGTGGTCCGAGGACTCGATCCCAATGCCAATCCAATGATTCCAGACTAAAACTATTCCAATGGTTATGCAACACTGAAACATGTCATAGAAAATGAATTTACGATAAAATCCAAAAGACTGACCACTTCACTTCAAGTCTACATTACTGTTCAAAGGTTTGGGTTGGGGTTGTTAAGATTTTTATGTTTTTTAAAGAAGTAACTGTTTTCTATTTCAATATAGTTTCAGATGTAATTTACTCCTGTGATCAATTCTGAAATTTCAGTCTTCAGTGTCACATGATCCTTCAGAAATCCTTCTAATATGCAGATTTGCTGCTAAAGAAACATTTATTATTATTATCAGTGTTGAAAACAGTTTAATATTTCTGTAAAAACGTGACACATTCTTTGATGAACAGGAAGTTCAAAAGAACAGCCTTTTGATCAATTTATTGCATGCATGCTGATTAAAGAAATTAATTTAAAAAATGTGCTGACCCCAAACCTTTAAAATGGGACTGTATAAATTCAGGAAAAAAAACAATGAAGTCAACATTTTTGTTGATTTTAATCCTATATATATATATAGAGATTAAAATCATCAAAAATGTTGACTTCATTGTTCATATGAAGTCAAGAAGACTTCATATATATATACGCTAGTGTACTCCTAAACGCTAACAAAATCAGCTTCAAGTATATATAAAATTAAATTAATTAAATATAAAAAGTAGTTCACAAGGATATGATCCGACACGTCCAAAATAACGCTCTCTAGAATGAAACTCCCTCTGCTCCTAAATTAAAAACACCACCTGCCTTTTTCTAGCAATAGAAAGTAGGAAATCATGGTTTATTACGGTCATGTAAACTAAAGGCTATTGGCCCAAAAAAAAAACACACAATATGTTTCATCCCAACGTCCTGTCCTGTTTCCATAGGAAATATGGCAACACAGAATATAAAGAGCTATACATACAACAATCCTTACATTACTTTAAAAACCAACGGAGCGAGTCAGGAAACTAGATAAATAACAAGTTTAACTAACTTGTTCCAGATTATTCAAACTAGCTATGCTTCAAAGAATTAAAAGAAAATATCTCAAACAATTTGTGAACCAGCAGCATTTCCATTCAGTGTGCAAAATATAAATGGAAATGAAAGTTGCACCCACTGGGGAAGCCACTGAAACTTTTTATGCTAATGAAAAATGCATCCACCTCAATCAAACATATTATGCAATATCCCAAAATTCCCTAAAACTATACAGATCGCTTGTTTGTTGGTGTCTGTTTGAATAGGGGCTTTCGCACCGCTTTAGTTCCAGAACTAAATGTACAGTACTAAAGTACTGGGACGATTTTGCGCGAACTATTTTCCAGTACCATTAAAGGGTTGCATTCGCACCGACAGTGTGTACTAAGAAGTGACGTAAGCCGGTCGACAGCGACGTCATTTGTGCGCGGCGTTCAACAACAGAAACAAAGAAGAACAACATTAACAACAGGAGGATGGAGGACGCTGTGATCGGAGCTGTGTTTTTGTTGTGTCTCGCGGGTTTCCCAATAATGGACATGGAAAGTCGACGTATACGTAAAGCGACTGAAAGAACGGAAAGGAGGACTAAGAATCTCCAACGACAACTGGCAGTGCTACATTTGCTACAAGTGCCTGCACTTCAGCGTCCGTCCATCTATCGCTGTTCTCCATACTTGCGAAATAAGTTGACACAATGTTTACAGTATGTTTACACAGCGTTTTAAATCATGGCAGGTGAGGGCGTTTTCGTATGTGTTTGGCCAATCAATGTCTACTTATGTCACGGGTAGTACCAGTTGTGCTGGTTAGACCCTGCTCTGGAGTAGGAGCTAATTTGGTTCTCGAAAAAGGTAGTCCGGTACTAAAATCGCTCCCAGTTCCGGCGGTGTGAAAACGCCAAAAAGTGGGTAGTTCCACAATTAGTTCTTAGTACTATGAAAAGGTTCCCGCGGTGCGAAAGGCCCTTATGTCTCTGCAGCTTTGGCTATTTTCATGATGAAAAAATTACTTTTTATACTGACACATTTCAGAATGCAACAACTTATGAAACGGAGCTTGCAGAGCTAGTAGCATTAGCTTTCACATACTTGTGCAGAGTATGATTTAGGCCAGGGGTGGCCTACGTCGGTCCTGGAGAGTTTTGCTTCAATCTTGATAAAAACTCACCTGCCGGTAGCTTTCTACAGTGCGTTCCAAATGGGATATTTCGCCCTCCGAAGGGCACTTCGAGGTGAAAACAATCACGGCCGCCATATTGAAGGGTCGTTCCAAACCGAAGTGCTCAAAACTGGCCGCTTCAAAGGGCCACTCGGAATGAAGGATTTTGAAGGGTACAACTGATGGACACTTCGGGCTCCCATGATCCTTTGCATGATGTTGATGGCACGTGATGATGACGCAGAAGGGCACTTCAAGAAACAGTTGTTTGGTCCCCTACACCCTTCAACCCTTTGAAGCTCTCACTCTGGAGGGTAAACCCTTTGAAGGGATTAGGGCATAGGGATGAGCCCTTCCGAACGGAACGCAGGGCTAGTAACCCTTAGACCTTGATTAGCTTGTTCAGGTGTGTTTGATTAGGGTCAGAGCGAAACTCTGCAGGACTGTGGCTCTCCAGGACCAACGTTGGCCACCCCTGATTTAGGCCTAAAAACAAAGTGGTTGGTCGTTTTACATGTCATTCAGACAGTCTTTTCCTGTCTAATTGACTATGCCATTAGTCAAAACCCTGCTATGTGAGGCTAAGTCACATCTGCTAGCAGAATACACATAAATGTGAAAACCAGAAACACAAACCACACCTGAACAGAACATTCCAGCATTTCAGCATTTCCAGAACCGCACAAGACACTGAAACGTTCCTTAAATAAACAAAACTGATATTCATATTATATGTAACATATAAATCTAGCATACAGAACATGCACGGTTCACAGCCACACACTCATGATGAGGGAAACTCCACTTGTGCTGCACATTTGACATACAGCTTAAAGGTCAGAATGGGTCAATAAACTGCATTTCCACTGAAAGTCTAGTGCAAAGCCCATGTTCATCTGTGAGATATATGAACTTCCAATATTTACAATACAGCCACTCGGTCACTCAGAACGACCCCCGGCGGTGAAGCTCACGGTCAAAACCCACCGCAGGGAAATAAAGACTCACATTACACAACCTACCAGCGGAGGAAACAACACAAAACATTCCAGCACATAAAAGATCGACAGCTTGTGCAGGATAGTCGCCAAACGACAGGGGAGACTTTACTGAATCACTGAACAAACCCAAAAAAACAGCTGTGCTCAGTATTATTAGCACCCTTGGTGAATATGAACAGAGAAGCCTGTGGAAATAAATCTGCAATGTTTATCCTTTTGATCTTTCATTCAAAAAATTCACAAAATTCTAACCTGTCATTGAAGTAAATCAATACACATTTGCCACAATTATTAGCACCCCTAGAAATTATTATGGAGTAAAATATCTCTGAAGTACATTCCCATTCATATTTACAGTTTTAGCATACCAGGGTGACTAGGAGCATGACATTTTTTACTTTAAGCAAATAAAATGCTACAAAAAATGTAGTATATGCCCAATTTAAAGGAGTTAACTGCCATTTAGAGCTTTTGAACTTTCTGCACTCGAAGCCTCACAGACAGAAGCAGCTAGGACAGGAGGTGGATGTTATTCTATAGAGCGTGTCTATACATGCAGACCTAAACCTCCCTCTCTGTCTCCACCACACACTTCCTCCTGAAAACAGTGACAGCGTCAAACACTCCCCTTTTCCTCGGGCCACGGAAATACTTCTAATGAGGCTCCTGAAAGTGTAACTTAAGAGGGGGAATAGTGCTCACGACGGCAAAACACTCATGCGTACGTGTCGTGCACTCACATACAGAGACCTCCAGATGGGGGTTTGTGCAGCATTTAGAGGCGTCTGATTATTTTTTTGCAAGGCAAAAATCACTATTACTATTTCTCATTCTTAGGGAAAAGTATTACATTTTGGCACATAACTCACCCTGCACCATTTGAGCTATGGACATGAATCATACCTCAAATCAAGCAGCTTGAGGAGAGGTGTGGAAAAGGGACAAAAACAAAAAATGGTCCTAAAAAACATTTGATTTATACAAAAACCGGGTTAATATGGTTAACTAAAACTAAAATGATCAAAAAAGCTGAAATTAAATTAAATGATTCATTTAATTAAATTATTAGATGAAACATTTAAAATGAACAAAAATGAGGAATGTTGCTTAAATAGCTTAAATTAGTCGAAGCTAAAACTAACTGGAAATAACTAAAACTGAACAAGAAAAACAAATTATCCGTAATAGCAATATATAAAAAAATCGAAATCAAAAAGCTCAAAAATGACAATTACTTAAAACTAAAATAATGAAAAACTGAATTCAAAAGCTGAAATGAAATATAAATGTTAGATGAAAAAATCTTAAAATAAAGAAAAATTTGAAATGTTGTCTTGGCATCTAAGGCCCTGTCCACACGAACCGCAGCTTTTTCTACCTGTCCACACTATTTTTAAAACCGCAGCTTTTTCTACACGGTTTGGCCATTCGTCCACACCCAAACGCAGCACCTGGGTGAAGATTTTCAAAAACTCCAGTTGGAGTGTTATCGTGTAGACAGTGAAACCGGAGTTTTTGGCTTATGATGTCGGAGCCTGCGCTGTTATCTCCGCCTACTGGAAACTTTTTCAGGCTTCTGACTGGCCAACATGGCTTTACGGTTGAGATTATATCGCCACCTGTTGGTTTGGCATGCTCTTGACAGTGCTTCATAGCATGTGTTTGCGTTTTCATGTGGATGGAGGTTTTTTTTTAAACGGAAGGAAAAATAAATTAAACCTTAATATATATATTTTTTTAACTAATAAAAATTACAAAATTACAAAAAATTTTACTAAAATGAAAATTGAAAAAATTAAAGCCAATACAAAATATTAATAGAAACTAAAATAGGATATAAATATTACTAAAATAACACTGCGCAAAACAATTTCTTTGTTTAGATTTGAGGACAAAATGTGATCAGTTTGTGAAAATTCACTTTAAAATACAGCATACTAGAATAAAGATTATTCGCAGTAACTTTATGGTGTTTTTTTTTTTGTCTGTTCATATATTGAAAGCTATCTGCTACAGCAGACAGCTTTGTGAACATTCTTGAAAATTTCTCCTTTTGTGTTCCACGAAAGAAAGAAAACCGTGAACATCTGGAATGGCATGAGAGTGCGTAAATTATTGCAAAACTCCATGAAGGGAGCAGATGAGGTTCGGTTTTCACTCATCAGTTTGCAGAATTGCATTGCACTTGAGCTCCTTGCAGAAACGGCAACGGCACAGAGGATCAGAGCAAGGGCCAAGCTTTCAGTCTGAATGGTCCAAAAAAGCTGCAGAGCCATCTGGCACAGGCTCACACACACTGGCAGATTGGCAGCCACAAAAACACATGGGGGCCTCCACCCACTCACAAAACATACCCATCAAACCAAATCTCAACATTCACTAAACACTTCCGAATACACACTGATCTTGTGCCAACATTTCCACACACACGCATAATCTCCCACAGAAAGCTAATTCCGAAAATCCCTTTTTGCCAAACAAACATGCCAAATACACTTACTTCTACACACACTGATTTCAAGCCAAGCGCCATATTTACTCATACACCCAAGAAACCCTCAAACGCACAAAAAGCAAACTCCAAAAACCCACATTCACCAAACAAACATGCCAAACACTCTTATTAGCACACAGATCAGAAGCCAAATACCCACATTCACACACACACACCACAGAGAGGACTGTATAAACTAAGCCTTTCCAGTGTTTTAATGACCTGATATGCTCAAAGTGTGTAATGAACTTCACTCTTACTTGTTCTCATTACTGGCATCATATCGGGGCATGGGATCCATGTCATTACCGTTCACATCATAACTGGCCTCATTATCCTGCGAACAGATCAAAGGAAGAAAAAAAACATGAGAACACGGTCTAATGTGGATTTTTCCATCCATTATGGGAATGTGCCAGTTAGGACACTTAAAAAATGCTAAAAGTGAACAACGATTTTAGACTTATGCATGTGAACACGTGAATCTGGATATGTACTTTCAGGACAGAGCTTATATAAACACAAAAGCATCAGTCAATTTACAGTCTCAGTCTGGGTGCTTTTGTTTTGCTCAGTTGCTTTGATCCAAGACTTAGTTTTAGGTTATTAAAGCATCATGGGTGTGCTCAAATATTACAAAAAGTAGCTATTTTAATTACACCAGAGGTGGTCTTATTATTGGGAGACACCAATATTCGTGAATCTACCATTAGAGAAAGCGTATATCATCATATTCCAGCCTTGATGTCATTGTCCTTCTGTCAGAGCTCATTGTTGTCAGTCCACTGTTTGTGGATCCCATTGAAATGAATGACAAGTGCGTAAACTGAATCCTACTTGGCACTTAATTGTCTGTGATTTCTCTTATTAACAAAAGCAGTTTATTCACCGTGGTGAAGCATCTCCTCCATTGACATCCATTCAAAAAAATCAGCCTCTGATCTCCTTCCGGAGCTTTTTTTTTGCTAAACTTGGAGGCTTGCCTTAAAGCAGCTTTGATCATACTGATTACTTGTTTTAGCCTAATTCTAAGGCAGTATCACATGTATCCAAGAATGCACTGCAACGAGCTCAAAGGGGGGAAATTCAAGATTTCAGATGAGACGAGAGAAATGTTAATTATAAATAAACATACATTCTGTTCAATACTGAATATCGATAAAAATAGCTCAATGTAATTCAAATGGATTGCTTTACCCAGTATTCCAGTACGCAATACGTGTTTTTATGCTTTAGAGTATTGTGACATTAGCTCAGCATCATGCAAATGTTAACTCCATGGACTGCCTTCTCATTTCTAGTGATCTCAGCAGCATAATCTTCATAGTTGGGTAAACCTTTTTTAGTGCTGAATGGAAACTACAACAAATATAATTTTTACGTTTCCATTTTCCCCAATAGAAGCATTAGTTTTCTGAAACTTAAGGCCAGGCTAATAAAACACAAAGTATAGTGTTATAAATGTACTTAAAAAAAAAAGTGACATGAGATATGCAACGGAAAAGCAGCGTAGTGGACTACAAAACCACGTTCTGTGTGAACAGCCCTTTAGAAGGCAGCTGGCTGTATAGTCAGTAGTCAGCTCACTAGGTTTTGGAACAGAGCAAGTATGTTAGAATTTTGCTCTTACTATTTCTGCTGAAGTTTCTGTATGCAAAGAATACCTGGTTGACAGACACAATGTGCGATATACAACAAAGCACATTACATAGAAGACTATGTGCTCAACCTGACCTACCATTTCTATTGCAAATGAATCTTTTTTTGATTAAATATCAAACACTTTTTAAATTTGTATATATTATTTGGTCAGAATGTAGAGTTTTTACACCAAATTTGACTAAAAATGTAACCACTAATAAGTATATAATGCAGAGTATGCAGTATGCAAGAAATTACTTTCTTAGAAACACTCATACACACTTACGTAGTTCTGGATGAGATCTGGGTGGTTCCTCTCGATACCGTCATCCAGAATGGTAACCACCACATCCTTCCCCGTATAGCCTCTCTTCCACGCGCCCACGATATTCATGTCAGACTGACAGTTATTGATGTTATCATTACAGTGCTGCAAAGAAAGAGATAAAAGAGGACGTAAAACAATCTAATTAGGTGAAGAGTCTCACACTGTAATGCTCACACTGCTGTTCAAACGTTTACAGCCAGTGAGATGTTGTAAAGAACTAATACTTTTATTCAGCAAGTTTCAGCAAATTTGTTTTCACAAAAATATTAAGCAGCACAACCGTTTTCAATATTGATAATAATAAGAAATGTTTCTTGAGCAGCAATATTAGAATGAAGGATCATGTGACACTGAAGACTGGAGTAATGATACTGAAAATTCAGCTTTGCATTACAGGAATAAATTAACTTTTAAAATATATCCAAATATAAAACACTTATTTTAAATTCTAAAAATATTTCACAATATTACTAGACTTTTGATCAAATAAATGTAGCTTTGGTGAGCAAAAGAGACTTTTTCAATCAAAGACTTTTTCAATCAAAAACCTTAAAAAAAAAATCTTACAGACCCTCAACCCTTTGAAATGTACATAGAAGCATTTTGAAGGACTACCATAAATACATTTAGAGTTTATGTTTGCAAATGCAAAGAAAATTTGGGTCTTCTGATTATTATTATATAAAAAAATGACTGAGATACAGGGTAGGGTGGATTCGATCCCACATCTCCCATGATTACCACAGCTCAATGTGTCTGAAACATGCATGCCAAACACAAGGCCACAGTAAAATCCAGCCTATTTGTGGTGCTTTAAAGAAATCCCAAGTATGTGGTAAAAAGCTAAAATTATTTTTAAAACATATCTCTGTAAATTACTGCATCTTTCCTCGTCTATCTCAGACACTGTTATTACATGCGTCACATGGAACCAAATGTACCAAATGCCTCATTGGGCCTAGAGTTGGAATTAGACCCCATCCAGGAAAGTCAAGTTTATTTGCTCCCAAAGTGCAACTCGCAGGTCAACAAGAGAAACCTGAGCCAAATGGATGCATTCAGGTCAAAGTATTAATGTTATCTGAGCCATATTAACCATTGACAGAGCTGTAACAACCCATTAGAGAACAAGCGCTTAGTTCACTCTCGCCGTTTTGGTCGAAGCTATAAATGCGATCGTAGACAGAAACTGATGACAACAATTGCTATGTGTGCTATGACTCAAGGTTTCAGCTGCAGCCAAAGTGCAACCTTTCGAACATTCTGGGAAATCTGAATGGCTGTTTAGAGTGTAAAAAAGCGCAAAGATGTCTTCACATTTCCTATGTGCTCATGAACCACACCATCGGCTCTCGTGAGCTGAGGAACATGACGGCTATGAAAACAAGAGTCTGTTTGTACAATTACCTCACAGAAAATGTCTCCGCTAGACGTTATGTTAGAGCTTACGAAAGCTCAATGTATCTCTCTGGGTGGTTTTCACATGTAGAAACTCGGCTAATCTGGTGTGACAGGCATCGTTTCTCTTGAGCGAGATTCAATCTGACAAATTAGTTTTAGTTAAAAACACTAAATTTTACTACCTGCCATTACGTTTTAGTGAAAGCCGTCTTGAAAAGCAGAAGATTGGCTTGGTTTTGCATTTAACTAAACACAACACGATACACTGTCTTTAATGAAAGCATTCGCAATGCATTTCGATTCAATAATGGGCTGTATTGAGGACTTAAACAGAATGAGACGTGACTTGATTTTATCCGTCTGGATTTGGAACTAGTCTGTGATATTATTGGATAATTATATCATAACATCATAGTCTTTATCTCAAAGTTTCTTCCTTGCTATTATCACTTTTCCATTGATCACTGTGGGATTTGTAAGGCGTAAGGAATAAGGAATGCTTTACAAATAAGTTGAACAGAATGATTTTCCCGCCTTTTCTAACATCAGCAAGTTTTCCGAGGAGAAAGTAAATCCATTTTGATGATGGAATTTTTTCCCTTTCATGTGCTTGATGATTCATATAAGACCTTGGTTAAGGACGGAAGAGTTGAACAGCTCAGCAGAGCCCTATATTTTTTGCAGTAGAGTAGGAAATGATGCAAACCATGACAATGATCAAGACTTCAGTGTTTTTCAATGTTAGCAACTCACAAGAACAATGTACAGCATGTTAATTAAGAATACTCACTATGTACCACATACTGCTCCATTTAGCATCATTGAAGTAAATGGCGCTGGACTGGACCATACTGGACTGTACAGGACCAGGATATGAGGGTTTATAATCTCGCTTTGTTCTCCTCTTCACCACCTGCTGTTGCACCCACTCCACCTGAGAAAGAAGGAGAAGAGATCCTTTAGGAACTGACAAACACCAACATCTTTTCATGACTTCTATTTTCTTTAACATTCATCTGATTAAATGAATGATGGCTACTGGACTACAGTAATGAGAAACTATCCAATGATGTTTTTTATTTCTACAAAATCAGCATGAATTAACGGTATAAACACTATGATGATATAAACATACTTTCTTTGTAGTAATACAACACGAATGATGCCAATTAATTTTTTTGGTAATGAGAATTATGGAGGTAAATATCCTTAATTATAAAAAAGGTAATGTCACGATGGAAAATGTTTTAATAATATATAGTGCTAACTTTCCTCATGCACAATATCATACCTTAATTTTTCCTTTCAATATTGAGGTGAAATATACATAGACAGGCTTCATTCATGTAGCTCACGAACATGTTTGACTTCAATTATACAGCTACAAAAAGTCCATGAATCGGTTATTTGGTAGAAATTAATATTATGTCATTATTTATTGACACTTGTGTCTTTTCAAACCTGTATGATTTTGTCCTCCGCTGAATAAAAAACACAAATGGTTATGAGACACCAGTGGTTTTTGGCATCACTGACGTCAAATTTGAAAAGACACATCTTGAGATGCCAGATCTCGAAATATACAAATGCGAATGAGATTTGAAAGCTACGATAGGGGGGGAGGGGGATTCTCATTCTCAGTTTTTGCTTTAAAGGTGCTTTTTGACATTTTTAGAGATTGACAGACACTAGTCACCATTCACTTCAGTTGTATGGAAAAGAGCAGCATGAACACTCTGCTAAGTATCTCATTTTGTGTTCCACAGAAGAAAAACAATAAAAAAAGATGACAATTAAAATTTTTGGATAAACAAAACAACACTGAGGTTTGCAACATGTTAACCCAACCGTCCTATTCAAGATTATACACAAAGCATTGTTCATGAACAAAACTTTGCATTCGCATTGCGCAACAGTTGTTTTGAATACACTGTGAATTGTAGTCATTGATGATCAAGATCAGGAGTCCATATAGAACATAGAACACACAGGTGTGGGGTTGTCATAGTGACAGCCTGACCTTTGGCTCCATGGAGATGAAGCTGTGCGCGCCTCTGCTGAAAAGCGTCGACCTTTTTATCGTCCGGCTGTGGAAGAAATGGTAGTAGTCCTTCAGATCACCGATCTACAGGAACAACACACAAAACTGTCATTTAATGCATTGCAACATTACAATCAAGAATCCAAACACGCAGCTATACTAATACTAAGTAACTAAAAAAAGCATATCAGGGCAGGCACGTCTAATATGTAACAATATTGGTATAAATCAATAGGAAAGAGCTAGAGCAACATTCACCACAGGCAAGTTGAAACCGGCATGCATCATTAATTATTTAGGATGTCATTGACTGGAAGTTTGGTTACTCAAGAGGCTGCATCACTTTCCACTGAACAGATTCATTTGACAAGTGCAATAACACCAGGCAGCCATGACACATTCTCCACGACTACTGTACTCCATAGGGATACATAAGTCTGCCATAAAAAAAACAATGACTCTTGAAACCAATGATAAGCTTTGCCAGTTTACAGTCAATCAAATGGGCTTACGGTGCTTACAAAGCAACTGCTTTGAAATGAACTTGACGTAGGAAAATTCTAAGTTCATGAAGAGCATCTTATACTTTCTTTTTGTTCATGAACACATAGGCTACAGCTGGCTCCTACGGCAATCTCATATTCCAGGATCCTATAGCAGATTCCCACAGGAGGACACGAGTCTGATGAGTTGCAAAGTTCAGGAGTGCTTAAACTTTCATAAACAGTTACTCTGGATGTGACAAGCTTGCAGTTGAGGAAGGACCTCTTCGCTGGCACAATAAGCACAGATGAGCGATAAGATAGCACATTGTGAAATCAGACACAGAACACGGTTGCAGTGAAATCTCTCACCACAACGCAGATCTGAGATCCGACATACAGGCTGAGCGAAGTTTAAGGCTCCACCATAGACTTACATAAACCTATTTATTTATTTAAATGCACCAGCAGCTCCCAGGAGGAAGATGAGACTGAGACCAAGGCAGTTTATAATGCTACATAATGCAGTTCTTTACATCTACTTGACTTGACAAATGAATTGCAAACGGCTGCATTATATGCAATTTTAATAGGAAGTATTCCAAGTACTCAATTAGAACATAAGAACTGAGACCAAGGCAGTTTATAATGCTACATAATGCAGTTCTTTACATCTACTTGACAAATGAATTGCAAACGGCTGCATTATATGCAATTTTAATAGGAAGTATTCCAAGTACTCAATTAGAACATAAGAAACGTGACAGATGTAACACTTTCAGCCTGTGTAACATTTTCAGCACGTTACAGTGAATGTTACATGCCATGAATCCTTATGCCATGAACTTATTAGTTTAGAATTCAGATGTACACCTAAACTGATCTGCTAGCATTCATTACCAACAGAAAACAGTAAACAGATCCACCAACTCGCAGGAAAGTTTGAAAAACACCTGTTGTTGTTGGGAGTCAGTGGAGACCTGTTTGTTCACTGGGTTTTAGCATGAGAACTGGGCTATAAACGAGTCTTCGGGCAGACTGATGAAGATTCAAGTCTTGAAAACGTGAATTTATCAGTCTGAATTATCAAAGCACAACTCTGGGAAACTTGTGTGCAAAGCTTCCAGCCTTGACGTTTGGACTTCAATTAAAGAGATAGCACACTTGCACTGAGGGGAAAGAGCACTGGACAGCACATACTATGAAATAACACCCGTGAAACGCTTCAGAGCATGTTACTGCAGGACACACGTACCTGGCCCAGGTTCCTATACCCATATTTATTGGCGATATGGTCCGCTTGCTCAGGTCCGCCGGCTATCCGAACAGCCCAGTGGTTGGTGTAAATCCGAGCTTTGCACGGAGGAGACGAGAAAAAAACCAAGCACAGCGAAACCAGGACGCACGGGAGGCTGTTCAAACCCATCTTTCGCCCTCTCTCTCTCTCTCGCCTCGACTCTCCGCAGCACCCCCGGTTTAGGAAAACAACCAAACTTCGTCTCTCCGTTCAGCGGGGATTCTCATAGAAGTGCGTCTCGAGCTCCACATATACTCAGCAGAGGGAGAGCGCAGGATACGAGCCTCGGAACGCTTCAGCCTGCAGCGCATCGGCCGCGCACACTCCGACGCCACGGACAGAGAGAGAGACGCGAGAGTCTTGTCTTTGGCTTGAATTGTTCTCTCAAGACAGTGCCGTTACTTCTGCCTTTTTTTTTTGTAAAGGGGAGATATGGCTCTAGCGCCTCCCTCAAATAACTACAGAGAGAGTCGGGAGAGTACGGACAACGAGCCGTGTGGGGTTACCGGGGCTCCGCAGGGTCTTAAAGACACACCGCGTTCCTTCAGCACAGATCCGGCGGCGTTGTCGCATTTATCACAGCGATGAGATTCCCAGAGCCTTCTGTGAAGAAGAAGCTTGACTAAGTAGCCTATACCGTTTTGGCTTATTTTTATACTTATGGCCACTCATGTAGTCAGTATTAACAGCGGAGGCCAGTCAAGTATTAACAGCAGTTTGTTCTGGTCGTCAAATTTGATTGGCCATGGAGTGCTTATTTAATATAATAGCACTGGATGTTTCACTGTTTGTTTTATTTATCTTTTGAAAAAAGTCAGAACATTATGATGTAAACTCATAATTCTGAAAAAAGTCAGAATTGTGAGATGCAAACTTTGAATTGCGAGAACAAAGTCAGAATTCTGAATTTATATATCGTGCAAATCTGACTTTTTTCTTATAATTTTCTCAAAAATAACTGCTAACTTTTTTTTTACTTTCACCCCGTGCCGGAAACGAGCTTCTATACGACACAGAGGAATGATTGTGTTGGAATCACTTTTTAGGATGATTTTTTTCCCCTGTTGATGAAAGATAAAAAACATTGACAGCCAATCAGAATCAACCTGACTTTAAAGATGTCAAGCATTTAAAATGGCAAAAGACATAGCAGTCGTGCGTGTTTACAAAGAACAGAATTTTATTGTGTGGATGCTAATATAGTTACAGTTATGGTTATCTTTATTGGTACCAAAGATGATACTGATATCTATAAAGTTTTAATAATCGTTCTAATTGTATGAGAATAGGAGGTTCACACCACAGCTTTAACCATAATTCTGTCAGGACCGCTATCGTCAAAGATGATTGACAATTAGCATACAGTTTGGATTGGCGGTATGGTTCTGTTCTGGGCAAGAACTCCCTGCACATCTATGCAGCCTAGCATGGATGAGAGCAGGGAGAGCAGCGATAACCCCCCAGGGTAAACAGAACAGAACCAACATAAATGTATTGCAGTTATCATTAAAGTTCAATAATTTTATGTACACATTTTAGAATTAGTCTGATTCATGGAGAATCAGAAAGTTGAATCCCGACTGACAGAGGAGGAGTTGGGGATGGAGGAGGGTAATTAGCTATTGAGCAATGCGAAAACTGCTGATAATACTGAGGGACCTTATATATGAATGCTTAGATAGGTGTCGTATTCCTATAGGTAGATGGGGATCAGCTGAAGGTCAGCTGATGCGAGCTTGACTAACGTGACCTGCCGGAACTAACGCTACGCTTGATTGACACAGAGGAACAATATAATGGGAATCACTTTCAGGATGATTTTTTCCAGTTGATTCGCCAATCGTCAAAAGGCAACATAGCATATAATATACAATGTATACACTATAGTTGTTGTTGTAGTTATACAGGCCGGTCTGTTCCAGTTCATGCATTGCTTAGTGACATGCAACACTTCATACTTTGGCTTATTTTGGGACTATCTTCATTGGTGGAACAGGCCAAGATTTTGATCACAAGTTTATTATTAAAAGCAACTTCACATTCACACAATATCAGCATCAGTCATTTACAAAACAAAAACTGTCCTTCTGTACATTTGGAACTAACTTGTTCTTGAGTAAACACCTTGTGTGCCTTGTTGTTTACTTCGAGTCCATAGCATTCTGTCCATCAACTTGAGACTTCTAGATCTAAGGTGGTGGGCTGCTTATAATGATTCCTCTCACAGTCGCATCCGCTCGTCACCAGACTTCTGATGGCATCATTATGTGGCCAGCGTTACGCGTCGCTCTCATTCGCGTCATGATTGATTGATCTTGGTTTTGGTTACCCCTCCGCGCTCTGTTCCGTTTGCAGTACAAGTGCGAATCAGCATAATTGCACTAATTACGGCCAATTTCTCCGTGAATGGAGCCGCTGTCAAATCCGACAGCAGACGAGGGACAAGAATATCTCACGGTCCTTATAAACGAGATGAAAGGGGACGAAAACACCCCGTGAACAAGCCATTGAGTGCGAGAGCAGGATTGCAATTTAAAGCACCGAGGGAGGAGGAGAAAAGAAGGGAACATGCGGAGATTTTAGAGCGGAATCAAGTACCCAGCTCACGGAGGTAGCGGGCAACCCCATTCAGCGCGTCGCATCTCTACCGGGGGCGCAAATTCCGCTTGACAGCCATTACCCCGAGAGCCCGAGTCGCCCCCCTTCAAGTGTCTTCCTCTGACAACGGTTACCAGCGTGCATTCCTTCTGCTGCAATTAGGCCTTTATTTATCACCTCTTCAGAGCTGAGTAAACAAACGTAATGTGCGGAAATCACTGGATAATTATTATCCCAGGGTGCGCATTATGGGGGTTTGGGGGGTCTGACCCCCCTAATTAAGGCTTGAACCCACAAAGCCAGTCAAAATAAAAGAATGGGGGGTCTAAGAAGACCGAATAATATATTGCTATTTGTTTATTTATTTTTTTCTGCTGCATTTTAAAATAACATTTAAGTAAAACACAAAGTTAATCAAGTTAAGGTGGGAATACACAATACAACTTTTTACAAATTTCGCAGAAAGTCGCGTAGAGACTGATGGGCACCAACTCAGATTTTTTTTAGCTTCAATCCAGTCGGAGACATCAAGCATGCTTGATATTTTGGGACTATTTTAGACACATAAGGTGCGTCCCCATTTGCGTACTTATACACTATTCTATGTTATTTTATAGCATAAATATTGCAAGTAGTCGGTTCACACCACTTATCTATAAATGACATTTAGAATTTATAAAATGCATACACTACAGGGAGAGTGCATAGTGCATAAGTACATAGGCCCTGTCCCAAATAGTACACTTCATGTGCACTTGCGGACTTATGGCCCACAGGTATACTTCACTTTCCGCGTTCCATTCCATCTTATGCACAGACGCGTCCGCACAGCTTTCAAACTATGGCCCTGTCCCAAATCGCACCCTAAACCCTCGCTGAGTCCACACTTTCGTAACTTAATTCCGCTTTGACTGTCGGTTAGAAGTCTGCTGTGGAGCTCGCCTCAGTGTGGGTTCAGCAGAAGTGCGCATCGAGGGCGCATAGCGGCTGCAAAGGGGCGCTCGCGAGCACCCTTCTGTAAGCTAAAATGACGAATGGGACACCCTGTGGTCTCGTAGACTTAACAGACACGCACACGCGGCGGCCATTGTAAGTCCGCAAGTGCACATGAAGTGTGCCATTTGGGACAGGGCCTATACTCAACTGCGGAGGGACGAGTTCGACACATGTGCAGTAGCACCTAGTAGACTAGTTCTGTCTCAACAATCACCTTGCGCCTGCACTGTTGTACGCAGACTGTCTGCACGGTCACAAAACTTCTGATGAGGAAAATTGTGTAACACGGACAGTGCGCGAACCATTGTGGATGGCCGAAGTATACTTTGGGTTTCACAATGGCCGCCGCGTGCGTATGTCTGTTAATTCCACAAGACCTTAAGGTGTTCCATTCATCATTTTAGCTTTCCGAAGGGTGCTCGCGAGTGCCCCCTTTTGGCCTCTAAGCGCCCTTGATGCGCACTTTTGCCAAACCTACATGCACTGAGGTGAGCTCCCCCAGCAGACTTCTACTCAGCAGTCAAAGGCCCTGTCCCAAATGGCACACTTCATGTGCACTTGTGGTCTTGCGGACTTACAATGGCCGCCACGTGCGCATGTCCGTTAAGTCCACGAGACTGTAGGGTGTCCCATTCATCATTTTAGCTTTCAGAATGGTGCTCGTGTGCGCCCCCTTTGAGGCCGCTATGTGCCCTCTATGCGCACTTCTGAGAGTTCCGCAGCAGACTTCTACCTGACAGTCAAAGCGGCATTGCGTCACGAAAGTGTGGACTCAGAGGAAGAACGCGAGGGTTTAGGGTGCGATTTGGGACAGGGCCAAAGCGACATTACGTCACGAAAGTGTACTTTGAGGAAGACCGCGAGGGTTTAAAGCCAGAGTATACTTCACGTTCTGTCTCGCGCACAGCCACATCCAGGCAGCTCAAAGTATACTCAAACGCGGATGAGCATGCATGGATGAGTTTGACACAAGTTGTGTGTCTCCTAGCAATAATAAAGTACATGTTTCTGCGTGAGCTTTGTTGTGTTCCGAACAATTTAAAAGGCTGTTAATGTGTGATCCTAAGTCGATTAGCGTAATTCTTAGTTTTCTCTCAAGTATATGAGTGTTTTAAAATCTGTTTACATTTCAAAAGTCCTGTGTGTTCCAACCTTTAGTCAGAGTGGCTACGGATGTGAACTGAAATCAGGTTCACGTGCAAAGTAACAGTAGCAAATGTTATTTGCCCATGCACTTAAATTTGCATGTGCCTGAGAAACAAGTGCTCAGCCATATTTAGAATTCTGTCTTTGAACTTCTGTTTTGCGGTAGCCCTATAGCGTAGCTGTAGAAGAATAATTAGCTGGTGAATGGATTTACTTATTGTAGACTTAACTAAAGTTATCATATGCATTGTAATGTTCAAAGCAGATGTCATAACAAATGTCAGTTGATTGGGAAGATTTTAAAATGAGCAGTTCAGACGAAAAGCAGTGTTGAAAAGGGGCGAAGCTACATAAGGGCTATATATATATATATATATATATACAGTACATACACAAGAAATACTGTCAATATTCACCACTATATTATAGATTGACACATGACAAGTATATTGCAACAACATTTTTATTATCATTTAAGATGTCTTTAAAAGGATAGTTCACCCCCCCCCCCAAATAAAAAAATAAAATAAATAAAAAGTCATTAATTACTTGCTTTTTTGTCATTCAAAACAAGTATGACTTAGATATTTTTTTTAAATAATCTCAGTTCTTTTTTTCTTTCCTTTTTTGAGGAATAATTTCCAAAATTATTTAAAATATTTAATTCATTTCATAAGCTCCTTTTAATGTCACAATTCTCACACGGTCGGACCCCATGTAACTCCTCAGACCACCTAACAAGGAGTTCTGTGGCTAATGCATAGAACCCATTTATTCATTTGTGCACTTGCTCACCAAATGCAATAAGAGAAGTAGGGCAGCAGCATGTAAAATGATTTGACTGGTTGATGCAGTCAAAACGATATTACTTGATAGCTTCTCTAAATTGAATTTTTGGCAGGGAGGATTTTACGTGCTAAATGCTGATGGAAATGAAAGAGACAGTAGTCAAACATCACACAGGCTGGGCCCATTGACCTGCATATGCGAGAGAGACAGGCAGCCAGAAAACACACAGCAGCAACACAAAAAGGGCTCTGTGGCCCTGACGGCAATGTGGGAGCCCCTCACTGGTCTCACTGGCAGGAGATCATTGTTATTCTCAGCAAATCAGTGCATGGATGACACACAGCTTCATTCTTAGAAACATTTTCCCTCTATATGCACACACACACACACAGAGACTACATTATTCAGAGCCAGCCAGCTATTCATCTGACAGACAATCTTATGCTATAGCAAAGTAAATTAATGCAAACACTGCATCAATTAATGCAAAGCCTCACTGCATCTCCATAGAAAGCACATTAAATGTACCCTATATATGTTGACATGAATGAAAATACACAATAGTGAGTGGCATGAAGACTGCATCATCTTCTGAAGGTCATTGTATGATATGATAAAGGACAACAATTCAATGCTTTATGTTTTAAAACCATAACAAACATAGACTAAAGGCATAATTCACCCAAAAGTGAAAATTGTGTCATCATTTACTCACCTGCACGTCATTCCAAAACTGTATGATTTTTTTTTTCTGTGGAACACACTCACACAAAAAAAGTATATATATGTATATATATAAAATATATATATATGGGTCAAAGAGATTAAGATGTCCACATCAAAAGAAATGTACAAAAGTGATTTTATGTCCATAGAAAGCACATTAAATGTACACTCTAAAAAATGCTGGGTTAAATACAACCCAGTGCTGGGTAAAATATGGACAAACCCAGCGGTTGGATTGTTTTGACCCAGCGGTTTGATTAAATGTTTAACTCAACCTTCTGGTTAGTAACCCAACCGCTGGGTTTGTCCCTATTTTACCCAGCACTGGGTTGTATTTAACCCAGCATTTTTTAGAGTGTAAGTAGTGTCTACTTTTAAGGTTTCAAATAAGTTTTTGGAGAATAAAATGTCACAATTTGGTTGAAATAATGTTACATTGTCATTGAGTGTAACACAATATTTATGTAAAAATTCAAACAACATGCTTATTCTGACGTGTACATATTAAAATATATAAAATAATAAGGGAGCATATTAAATTTGATTGTTTTAAATGAGTAAAAATGCTTACTGACAAATGGGCAAAACCTAAGATAGTGGCAAATTTAAGAAAATGTAAAATTACAACTAATTAGTTTAAATATAAAAAAATAATAGGGAGCATATTAAATTTGATTGTTTTAAATGAGTAAAAATGCTTACTGACAAATGGGCAAAACCTAAGATAGTGGCAAATTTAAGAAAATGTAAAATTACAACTAATTAGTATTTGGGGTGAAAGTAATTAGTTTTGTAATATGTCATAAATTTATAAGAAAATGTAAAATGACAACTAATTAGTATTTGGGGTGAAAGTAATTAGTTTTGAAATATGTCAAATTTATTTTTGTTGTAAATATGCCTGACAAGATTGTTACACTGAATGACATTTTAGTGGGTGTCTTCTGTAAATCAGGGGAAAATCTATATTTATTTTTTGCTCGGAAAAACAAAAACAAACTTGCAATTCAATTTAACAGAATTTAAAAAAAGAAGCAACAACAATTTAAAGCAGTATTACACTTATTGTTTTTATGCTTAAATCCTTTTTTGTCTTTGACCCATATATACAGTATGTATATATATTTTGGTTCATATATGAAAGTCAGTGTTGTTTGGACCCCATTGACTTTCAGTCTTTTTGTGTGTTTGAGAAAGATGTTAAATATATAAAATACTAATCAGTAAAACAATGTTTTTTTTTATTAATAATGTGTTAGTTTGTTCCTTTCTATAATAACATGTTATAATTCTCTCTCTCTCTCTCTCTCTCTCTCTCTCTCTCTCTCGAGATGGATAGAAATAATCACATGTCTAAAAAGATATGTAGGACGTTATAGAACAGTTCCAGTCCTGGTTTCTGATTGGTCAATACAGCGTTCCAATAAGGACACAGCTATGACGTCACTTTTAAATGGTGTTTGTTCCTTTCTATAATAACATGTTATAATTCTCTCTCTCTCTCTCTCTCTCTTTCGAGATGGATAGAAATAATCACATGTCTAAAAAGATATGTAGGACGTTATTGAACAGTTCCAGTCCTGGTTTCTGATTGGTCAATACAGCGTTCCAATAAGGACACAGCTATGACGTCACTTTTAAATGGTTTATTGCTTAGCAACGTTCTGTTGTGTTCAATTGAATTTGCGGCTTTGTGGCCTTAATTTTTTTAATGCAGTAAATGTTTTGTAAAAGCAATAAGGCACTTGAGGCTGTGCTGTATTATGAATATAGTCAGTCTGCTGCACAATATAACGCAACTAAATAACACAACCCGTATTATATCGCTGAATTATATATCTGACTAAACTTTAAAAACGTAGTGTTTACATAACTATACATAGTGCACTGATGATACAATGATCTGTTACTTTCCCCCACTTTGACCAACATTAAGCACAGTAAAACACTAGGTTA